ACTGCCTAATGTGGATGCTGGGAATCAAACTCAGGCCTCTAGAAGAGCAGTTGGCACTCAACTGCTGAGCCATGTCTCCAGCCCCCTTCTTTTCTTTCTTGTTAAGCTGGTATAATTGACACTGCATTCCGTAATCCTTTGGGGGAGTGTTAGGATACTTTGGATTACAAAGAACAGAAATCCCAGTTCAACCTAATTAAACAAAGAAAACAATTTTCCATCCCCTGGCACTTATGAAGCTGGGCCTGACTTCAGGCCCAGCAAAATGCAGACATTCAAACAGTGAAGGTCAAGACTTAGTCTGTCTCCATCTTTGTGGTAACAGACCACTCAATGTCCCATTCCCTTAGCAATCTCAGAAAGAAAAAACAACCGCTTCCCATGGCTTTGAGCAACAACGCAGCACCACGCTTCCTTAGAGCCCAGGTTACCTGTCTGTCCTTGAAGCAATCCCCATGGTCATCAGAAGGGTGTGATTGGGCTTGATTGGAAGGGGGAAGTCAGGAATCCATTCTATCTAGATCCATGGTGTTATTGTTTGGATCAAATATATCCTCCATCAGTTCATATTTTGAGTGTTTTGAAGGTAGGGCCTTGTTGGCAGAGAGAGGTCACAAGGGCAGCCTTAAGGCTATACTTCACTTCTAGGTGACATGGAAGAAAGCACACCTTTATTTCAACCTTGAAGGCTATACTTCACTTCTAGGTCCCCCTGAGCCGTCTGTATCCTGTCTACCATGATATGAGGAGTCTCTATCACCTGCTTCTGCTGTCATGTGCCTTCTCTGACATGATGGACTAAAATTTCCCTAAAGCCATGCGCCAAACTGAATCTTTCCTCCCATACGTTGTTTCTGTCAGGCATTTTGTCACAATAATGAGAAAAGTAATGAATACATGGGGACAGAGAGTGGGGCACCGAGAGCTGCTCACCATCAATAGGATGATGCTGAGACAGGCAGGGCAACCAATCAATGTTCATTACAAATCATTGTGTCAGGAATGTTGGGCTTCAGTTGGAAACAGCTTTGGGATGGTCTATCCTGCCCTAAGCCCAGGAACAAGCTCTGAAGTGTGAGAGGCAGGGTGCAGGTTTTCAGTGAGGTCTTCCACAGAGACGGTGGACTTCACATTCTCCACCCAGGGCCCTGTGCCTTCAGTCTCCAACTCTTACTTCCATAGGCCTTGGTCATTGCCACAGACTGCTCTGCCCTTCTCTTTGTTCTCTCCTGCCCATGATCAAAGGATGAAGTCATGTCACCCACTTCTAGAGCTTCAAAGACTCTAGTCTTTTCCTCTAGAAGTCTAAAGGGCCTGAGGCTTCCCTGTTTGGTCTCCTCAGAGCAGACTCCCTGAGCTGAGAAGCCCTTGCTAATTTCCTTAGGTCACCTCCAGAGTTCACCTCTCTGAAACCCTCCCTGAAAATGTCAGGTTTAAGCATTCCTGGGGGGGGGAGGTTTCAGGATACCTATGAGGCCCAAAGCAGCACACACCATGACATGGAAGAAAGCACACCTTTATTTCAACCTCCACCATCTTATGACCCAAACACACCACCTGGCGTGCTGGGTGCAAAGTCCAGAAAATTCCTATGAACACAGATGACTACAGTGTGATGACACAAACCCTTGCCAAGGAGCAGCTCACCCTACCACCCCAAAGCGGAATGCCTGGGATCTATCCCAGATGGGCAAGGGGAACAGGGTCTAGACCTAAACAGCAGCACAAAGGAAAGGTGCCAGGTAAGCCCTGGGGCATGCCATGGAATCCAAGCAACAGCTGGGGGAGGCCCCTGCTCTGGCTATGGCTTTTCCAGCTACAGAGCCATCCCAAAGGTGAGAACAGTCCCAAGTGCAGGCTCCTGGAACAGGTCAACATAGTATAAACACATCTGAAAAACATGGAGTGCCCAGTGACCATGTCAGGTGCTCTCATGGGCTGGGAGTTACTCAGGTCTGGGAACCACAGGGTTAGAGACAGGGAAGATTGGCAACTGGTGATCTAGCCCCAGAAAAATAGGTTTCCCAGAAATGGAAGAAACTACAGAAAAAGGCAGGAAGGAACTACTAGGCAAAGGGGACTTTAAGGATAGGGAGGAGAGGCGAGCAGGCAGAGAGGTGGATAGGGAGGAAGGTGGGGACACATAGGACAGTGAACCTCTCAATCTTTCTTCCCCTTCTCTCATGGGCTCCTTGAGTTGTAGGGCAAGGGTTCTACTCTACAACCCCATCACATCTGGTCAACTGACATCATTGCCAGCTGGCCTAGAAATGAGGCTGAGTCAAAGGTGGTAGTGGACCTGTTGAGCTTTGCCTGCTTCTCCTCTACCATAAGGTGAGTTTGGGCCTTAAGTCATCCCTCCCTTCTTCTGAGATGCCCTGACCCAGCCTGCCCAAGCTAGTCCTCCAGCATATAACCCAGGGTGAGCCTTCTTTGAGGCTCCCTGAATTACACATTAGCAGTTACTCTAGGCCCCAGGTAGGAAGGGGAGGAGGGAGGGAGGAAAGAGGAAAAGAGGGAAGGAAAAGCAGGATTTTGAGAGCTAATCTCCAGTCAGGTCCAAGGCTAGCAATTTGAAATTCGCCCTTTAACCTTGGGACCTAAGTTCAGAGAAAAATCTTACAGGAGATGTTTTAAAATGTAAATATGTCTAAAAATTTTTGTATGAGTATGCATGTTAGATTATTCTTGCTTTAAAAAATCTTTAACTCATCATCTATGAACACAGTTAAAACAATTTTTAAAAATATTTTATTTATTGCACGGCACGGGTGCACTCACCTACATGTAGGCATAACACTCATACACATACAATAAAAAATAAAATAAAAAATAATATTATATGTATATGAGTGTATTGCCTACATGTAGGTGAGTGCACCCATGTCATGCAAGGCTCTCAGAGGACAGAAGAGGCTGTCGGATCCCCTGGAACTGGAGTTGCAAACAGTTGTTAGCTGCCATGTGGGTGCTAGGATTCGAACCCAGGTCTTCTGCAACAGTCAGTGTTCTTAACCGCTGAGCCATCTCTCCAGCCCCAGTTAAAATAATTTTCAATTACACTAAATAATATGTAGTGGCACCAGCTTAGCTAAACAGAACTTAAAAGTACTCCACATGGTGCTTTTTAGTTCAGGCTAAAAGGGAAATCTGATGCAGCCAGCCCTTTGTATCTTTGGGTGCCACATCTATAGATTCAGCCAACCATGGATGGTATGCTGTGTGGTTAGGCCTATGAAGTTGTTTCTGCACTGAACATGCACTGACATTTTCATTGTCATTATTCCCTAGCATTTACACTATAAATAATCTAGAGATGACAAAGTACACAGGATGAAGTGTATAGTTACTATACAAAATACTGTCTTATATAAGAGACTTGAGATTCAAGGATTTTGCTATTCATGGGAATCCTAGAACTGGTAACTTATAAATACTGAAGGGTGACTGCATATATTTTCTAATTTTTAAAATTGAGGCTTGGTATGGTAGTGCACACTTTTAATCCCAGAACTCAGGAGGCAGAGGCAGGGGGATTTCACCGTAACCTCTCACAGTGAGGACTTAGTTTAATCTCTCTCAGACCCTCCATCAACAATGTCTCCAGTTCTGTCACATATAACCAGGAGCTGGACACTCACTACCTACTAGGTACCTGCTGCTAACTTCCTCCAGGGTCTGTTTCAAAGACAAAATACACCAAGAATCAAATATACCAAAGCCCAGGCTCTAGAACCTCAGAATTTGACCAAAGGAAATTTGAGCTGGGGTCTTGCCAGACTAGGTGTAGACATTTGTTGCAAATATCTAAGCAAAAAGGACCCAACTGCTGGCTCAGCAGTGCCCAGCTAAACAGAGAACACAACTATTCACCTGCTGTTCTGGTTAGTAAAGTTTTGGTGCAGCTGGTTTCCTTTTCCCAGAGCATCAAAGCAAACTTTTCTCTGCACTTGGGCAAGTGACTTGGTTTTGCCCACTGGAGAAGGAACCAGTTTCTGACCAGTGGGTAATGGGGATGTGAATAGATTGGAGGCTAAACAGAAGCCCTGGCCTCCCCAGGCCATGAGATGACCCTTGACCTGGTGGAACATGAGACCTTCACTTCCTCTGAGGCTTCTGATCCAGACCTCCTTTCTGGGGTCCCACAGTCCCTAGAAAGTGGAGCATTCCCCACTTCTGCATCCCTTGATGGGCTCAGGGAATTTGGGGCTGGAGGCCACATGCCACAGCATCCCAAATCCCAAGGCCAGCCGTTCTAAAGCCCCACTTTAAGGGCATTGGGTGGTGGAAACCACTTAGGCCCCCTTCATTCCACCATGGAAGGGAGCCTGGACAACACTTCAGACCTTTCCAAGGTCACAGGACTGGCTTGCAGCTGACTCCAGAGCTCAGAATCCTTGGAGGCAGAACTGGACAGAAGCCATTGGCATCAGTCAGGCCTATAGCAGCAACTTTCAGGAAGGACCTTCCAGAATAATCCTGAGGGAATAACAACTGTTTCAGAAAGGAAGTGAAGTGGTTATGGCGAGGGTCATGGGTCAGAGATTTTTGTTGTTGTCGTTGTTGTTGTTGTTTTTGAAACTGGGTCTCCCTGTAGCCCCAGCTGGTCCACTATGTAGACCAGGCTGGCCTAGGATCTGCCTGCCTCTGCCCCCTGATGCTGTGATTAAAGGAATGCTGCTCATGGTTTGGAGAGTCTTGCATGAAGCTTTCTGCTTTGATAGAACTCCAGGCTGTTTTCACACTGTCCTCTGATGAAGGTTGCCCTCTAGAGTTCTGCCTTTTGTGCAGTGCTCAACCTGAGATGCCTCTTGGAGAAGCCTGGTTTATGTGCAGGGGAAGGGGTGGGTCAGGGGAGAACCCTAGGAAATTCCCCAAACTTAGATTCCAGGGTCACTCCAGACCTACCAAACTAGTATGCCTGTTTCCTCCTAAGGGAAATCCCCGGATTTTAGGAATCAATCCCTAACCCCTAAATCAGATAGGGACACTGGCTTGGATGGAGCATTCTGCAGGCAGCTTCTGGTCCTCAGGCTGTCGAGGAAGCACTGGGGTCCTAGGAAGCACGGCCAGAGGTGAGTGGCCCCAGAGTCTGAGGGGAGACACAGCATTTGTCCCCAGGAGAGCTTCACTTCCCAGAGAATTGGCCGGGTCTAGCTTTCTTCAACTTGTGGCGCCGCTCAGGGGGAATTTCCTGCAGACTGATGCCGTGGTTGCTGGCCCTGCAATGAGGGGACCTCAGCCTCAGGGAAAGAAATGGGGGCGAGGAAATCAAGGCTTAGGCCATTGCTGCTTAGGACGAGGGTGAGAAGTTTGTAAGGAGCCTACAGCTAGCGGCTAGCACCACTAAGGCGCCAGTCACCCCTTTTACTCATGGGTTCAAGCCAACCACTCACCCAGGTTGCAGATCAGGTGGTTTGGGGATGGGCTTGTTGAAGCCGATTCTGCCCACAAGCCAGTACGTGTCTTCAGCACCCTTGCCCTGCCGAGGCAAAGGGAGGGGAGACAGGCAGTCTGGGGTGAGGGATGGAGAATCTTTAGGTCTAGGTGAAACTAGGACACCCCAGGTCTGTAAGGGCCCCCTCGAGGAGGCAGGGCGAGCAGGGATTCACCTTCAGCTCCGTGCGGCCTCGCAGCTCCATCTGGAAGCCCTGGTCCAGAGCACAAAGAATCCGCACGGTGCTCATATTCACGTGGATTCGGTAAGCTGAGGCGATGGGGGAACACCGGCAGCTCAAGACTCACCTCTTACGTCCCCCTCCTGGGTCATTTCCCCGCCCAACCTCTCCCCACCTCGCCCAGCTCTTCCTGCCCCTGTTAACACTCACGCAGCGCAGTGGACTCCATGCGTGAAGCAGTGTTGACTGTATCCCCAAATAGGCAGTATCGGGGCATGGTGAGGCCCACCACGCCAGCCACACACGGGCCTGTTGGAAATATGCCAGGTCAGAGAGCAGGTGGAGACAGGGTTGAAGGCGGTGATACCCCGCATCTAGGCTGCGCAGAGCGACTCGGGAGACATTTTAGCACCCAAACTCTCCACCAGCTCTCCAAATAAAAACACTCTCAAGTGTATTTTCTCAAGGCAAGGCTCCCTACCCCAGAAGTTGCTTCCTATGGCTGGAATCTGGGACCGCACCCTAAACAGTGAGAAAGGCTGAAGCCGGGAAATGAAGAGGGCTGGAAATTTACCTGAATGCAGGCCAATGCGGATGCGCACTGGTACCTCAGGCATATGGCGCATGCGGAAGAAGCCCGCGGCACTGAGGATGTCCAGTGCCATGTTAGCAATCTCTGCTGCATGCCGCTGCCCATTCCTCTGTGGCAGCCCAGAGGCCACCATATAGGCATCGCCAATTGTTTCCACCTGGAGAAAGGGGTTGCTTCGATTCAGTTCTCCAACACACAAAGTCAGTATCCCTTGTCAGGAAATCTAACCTGGAATTAGGGTAGACATCCTGGAAAGCCAAACTGGGAGTTGGCAGTTGCACTAGGGCCTGATGGAAGAGATGAGGGACAGGAGGGCTGGGAAGGAAGACTGGGCTGGTGTCCTGAGTCAGAGCCGGGTGTGGTGGTACCTGCCTATAACCCTAGGACTCAGGAGGCAGAGGCAGGAGGATTGCTAGGAGTTTGAGGCCAGCCTGATCTATACAGCAAGCTCTAAGCCATCCAGGGCTACATAGGAAAACAAAACAAAACAAAACAAAAAATCAAAACCCTGAAGGGCAAGAAGTTTTTTTCCTCTACACACTCCACCTTATAGACATCATGGGCACCAATGATGGCATCGAAGAGGGTATAGAGGTCATTGAGCAGATCCACCACCTCAATGGGCTCACTCATGGCTGAAATGGTGGTGAAGCCTACAATGTCACTGAAATATAGTGTCACTTCTTCAAAGTACTCAGGTTCTACAGATGTTCCCATCTTCAAGGCCTTGGCCACAGATCTAGGCATGGCAAACAATTGGGTCACCTGGAGGCTGTCCCAGTCTGGCTGCCCTCTCCCTGCATCCCTCTCCACATTGACACCCACGGAGGCAGCATCTGTGTGAGCAGCCGGTCTGTCTTTTGCTTTTCTAGCTCTAGCTCCTCTGTGCGTTCCCGGATCAGATCCTCCAGGTTACTAGAGTATTGCTCCAGCATCCGAAGCATGGAGTCAATGATGTTCATCTTCCGGCCCTTGTTGATACTCTTGAACTAGGAAGAGGGGAAAGCCGGGAAAGCTGCCCAAGACTTTGGCTACTCTGCCCCTCTCCTGCACCCTCTCACTGGGCTATATTCCCAAGCTCCCCACCCCCCTTCATCTTCTTCTTATGAATCACCCCTGGGCTCTTGGTCACTACGTTTTCAGATATTATTAGGAGGTATGTGAAAAACAAGGGTTCCCAGAAATAGTTGTTGGTGAGTTGGAACTGACAAAACACTGGATTCAGGGGAAAGGTCTTTTTTGTCACAGTAAACCAAGCACATATCTGTTTCTCATTCAATGTTATTTTATTTGAATCAAACATTTCTCCCACCCAGAGTTCTTTCTTCCATTTCAAGCCTCCACAAGTCCTCAACCTAGCTCATCTGTATTCTAACCCTGCCCCATCAAATTCCCAGTCCTTGGATTACTCCTAAGGAAGGAGCCTAGAAGATCAAAGATCCTGCCTGCCTGTGAAAAGGGCACTGACATGAATCTCAGATCCCAGGGGCCATCCCAGCCTTTGCCCAATCCCAGGTCCTGACCAGTTCAAAGGTGCTGTCCATGGAGGGCCGAAGTTCCGGCTGCTCTGCCCAGCACTGTGTCATCAGCTGGATGCACTCTATGGGTGCCTGGTCCACGGACACCGAGGGCCGACATAGTGGAGGGGGAATCTGCACCCTATGTATCACTTCTGGAGACAAAGGGAGACCATGAAAGGTGGGTATCCCAAAACAAAAATCACCTTTGACCCTAGCTTAAGATGGAGCACTAAGAGAGAGTCTTGTGTAGTCCAGGCTAGCCTCCACCTTGCCTATGTATCTGAGAATGAACTTGAACTTCTGACCCTCCTGCTTCCACTTCCCAAGTAAGCGCTAGGATCACAGGCTTGTGCAACCATGCCCAGTTTGTGAGGTGCTTGGAATTGAACCCAGGACTTCATGCATATTAGACAAGCACTCTACCAGCTGACCTACTTCCTAGCCTGAGAGGGTTCTTTAAGTGTTTCAGGGCCTAGAGAGAAGGCCCAGTCAGTAAAGAAAGTGCCTGTTGTGCAAGCATGAGGACCCAAGTGTGGATGGATCCCCAGCACCCACATAAAAAAATCCAGGCGTGGCAGGTATAATGGCATGCACCTGTAACCCTATCACCAGGAGGGCAGACACAGGAGGCTCCCTGGAGCTCAATGGTCAGCCATTGTAGCTAATTGGTGAGTTTTGGGTTTAGTGAGAGACCATGTCTCAAAAAATTAGGTGGAGAGGGATTGAGGAAGACACTAGACATTTATCTCTGGCCTCCTCACGTATCCATACATATGTACACACACACACACACACACACACACACACACACACACACACGACATACAAATGAGCGTTTGGGTGGGTGGAGGGGTGTAATGAGGAAGGGGATCTCTAGGAGTAACCAAAGGACCCTGAACTCTGAGTATCAGTGAGAGGTGCCACAGATAAACTAATCTTTACTGAACATAAGAAAAATAAGGTTAGGGTGATCATGTAGCTTGATGAATGATTTGGATTTGAATCCAATTCGGCTGTCCTCTGATCCCCTTTTTGTCCCCCTGCTACCTTCCTAAGAACTCAGAGAACTAAAGAGGAGCCTGATCTGCCTTATGGGGGAGTAGGATGGGTCCAAGATCAGGACAGAAGAAGCTATTTGTGCCCAGAAACACCCAACCCAAGCTTGGCTTTCCTCTCTAACCACTCAGCCAATTGTCTTCAGGCCCCAGTTTTAAGAAAGCCATCACACACTCAATCCTCATCAATGGGCTTTGTTTTATTAAAGAATTAACTACAGAGTGCCTATCTGACCCCAAGTCGCCTTACCATCAGGCGTCAGCTCCAGCATGGCATAAGGAGGGCAGCGGCACACGACCTCTTGCATGATAATGCCCAGGCTGAAGACATCGCCCGCTAGAGTTCCCCGGCGCTCCAGGGCTGGGTCCCGAAGCAGCTCCGGGGCTGTCCAGAGCTGATCTGGGAACAGGGAAGGGGGAGTGGGCACGCAGAGAGCCTGTGGTGGCCCTGAAGACAAATCCTCACCAGAAAGCCCAGGCGGTGCTTAGGAAAGACTCCGCCTCCTGGAAACAAGCTCCGCCCTTTGGTAAAGCCCCATTTAACTGCAGATCCGGAGCTCAGGCCCAATCCCACTTCCTAGCAAGGCCCTATTCTCCAGTCATGGGCCTTTTTCCGTAGCGGCATTAGCGTCAGGGGATATGGAATGGAAAGAGTGTGGGAGGAGTGGAGGGAAGAGCCCTTGAGACTACAGGTCCTGGGGGATGCTCTAGTACCAGGGAACCAGCCTGGGACTCCTACCCTCCGCACTGGGAGGCTCGGGCAACACTCTCTGCGCTTCCAGTAGTCGCCCATGGCCGTGGTCCGTCACCTTGAGCACGAACCTCCCATCCACCACGCAGTTTCGTGATTTAAGCCTCCCGTGTGCCACGCCGCGATGGTGCAGATATCTCATTCCCTTGGAAGGGGTGGAGGAAGAAGCAGCTTCAGTCCGGTGCGGTTCTCCTGATTCTTCGTCTAACCGGTTACTCAGGATAGACCTATTGGCTGCCAACACACACGCACACACACACACACACAGGCACACACACCTTGATGAGGTCCAGCAGGAGGGAAGATTTGAACATCCAATCCAGCTTTATGTGTCTTTGCGCGAGGAGGTCGTGGAGGGAGCCCCGAGCACAGTGCTCTGAGACCACAGCCAAGATGCTCTCCCCAGGGGCGGCAGAGCTGTCTGCTGTCCCTGTCAGGAACAGCCCCAGGTAGAGAGCCACATTCTCATGCCTGAGCTCCCGGAGCTGAAAGGGAGAGTTGATTGGCATTTTCTACCCTGGGGCAACTGCAGAACTGCAGTTTTTACATGTTATTGCATGCCTGTTTTTGAGTATCAAAATTGGGAACTTGAGATTGAAAATGGTGAGGGGGTAGGGGCTTTCTTCTCTAGGCAATTTTATCTTTGGGGAACACAATGTGGTCAAAGAGCGCTGTTCAGATTCTGAATAGAACTGAGCTTAAAGTTAGGAATGAAAAGATAATCGGTCATTAGAACCCAGTCTAATGAATCGGTGATTCATTAACCATAAAATGAAGGGATTAACCTGGCCATGAAGTTAAGTGACGTCTTAAGGGAAAGCATCATATACAGGAGAAGCTCCTGGCACCACCACCTGCTCTTTCTAATGTCCAGTCTTTGAGGAAGAACCAGAAGGAGGCTGTGAGATTCAGAAATCACTGTGCCTGCAGCCTGGTCTTTGCTCTGCTTGCATCATCGTATCAGATGTGTCTGAGAATCCCACCCTGTCTAAGTCAGGAAAGAAGGAACTAAACAGTCCAACTGTAGTCCCAGAGGAGCCATCAAAGAGGCCTCACCCACAAGGCAGTACTGAGAGCTCCAGCAAGCTGGAAGAAGACAGCCTGAAGACTGACTTTCTAGCTTTTCTTAGGGTCACATGCCCAGCTAAAGGACTTTTCATTTTAAACATCTAGTGTCAAACAGTGATTTAGTCCAGACCCACAAAGGGAATCCCCTTAAATCATTCCCCAGCTGTGACCACTAGAACCTGTGATAGCCTCCTGGAAATAGGCCAAGCCAGAGATGCTTGGTGTTGAGAGAGAGAGGGACATTAAAGTTGAAAGGGCCAGAATAAGTTATTCTATTGCCCCCTTGCCAACTCTAGTCACTATGTCACTACAGCTGGGGCCATTCCGCATAACTGGCCAGACAGAAGTATAAGTGCATTTAAATTTTTTCTTTCTTTCTTTTTTTAAATATTTGTTGGTTTATTGATGTGTTCGTATTTGCTTGTATATGTGTTGTGGGTATGTGTATGGGCATGCACATGCCATGGCACACATGTGGAGGTCAGAAGATAACTTGCAGGAGTTGGTTCTCTCCTTCCACTATGTGGGTTCTGGGAAACAAACTCAGGTCGTCAGCCTTGGCAGCAGGCACCTTTATCCACTGAGCCATCTTGAAGGGCCTTCATTTTTAAGGTTCTATCATTCACTCAACAAAAATCCACTGTGGTGGTACACAGCTTTAATCCCAGCACCTCAGGAGGCAGAGGCAGGAAGATTCTGTGAGATCAAGGCCAGCCTGGTCTAATAGTGAGTTCCAGGCCAGTTGAGGCTACAGGGAAACCCTGTCTCAAAACAAAATTTTTCTTAATCCATGGATCTCTCTGATGTTCTAGACCCTGTGATGGGTGTTGGGAATATGGTAGAGCCCTTACTCAGCTTTCAGTCCACGAGGGAAGCTAATAAGAAATAAATCAGGCCACAGATGAATGCACAACTTATGATTCATTAACATGTCACTCAGCACATATAAATTGTGATAAGAACACGAAGAAAAGAAGTGATACCTTGAGGGCTGGAAAGATGGCTCAGCAGGTAAGAGAGCATACTGCTCTTTCAGAGGACCAGAGTTGGGTTCCCAATACCCATGTCAGGTGGCTCACAACCTCCTGGAACTCTAGCTCCAAGAAATCTCATGCCCTCTTCTGGCCTCCACAAACACTGCACTCACATGGCATACACTCACACAGACACATACACATAAAAGTAAAAACCTTAATTAAATAAAAAAGAACTGATACATTGAAAGAGACTGATGGGAAGCCTGCTCTGGAGTAGAGGGGAAAACTTGAGACCTTCCTCTATAACCCACCACAAAGAGGAGACAAGAAAGAGGGAACCAATGACCACTCCACACCCCATCATGGATCCAACCCTCACCTTGGAGAAGGCTGTCTTGGTCGCTGGGCGGATAGCTATATGATGATCCCCTGGAAACTTCTTCAACCAAACCCAGTCTCCCTGCAGCAGAGAGGACAATATTAAGGAATTCAGACCCTCCAAGATGCAAGGAGCTCTAGGACCCCATATTTCCACTGGCCCAGTATACCAGAACATATCTTTTATGGCACAGAGAACAAGTATAGGAGCTTGATGTCTGCCTATTGTTTCACAGGCCACTAGGTCAAAGTTCAGGTCTCAGAAAGATACAGAAACTGTGTATGGTGGTCCTTACTACCCCAGATACTCCCACCTACAGTCCTGCCACATGAACCGTTACACAGCTCTCATCACCATCTCTCACTATGTGCTGAGAGCTCTCAGGAATTACTGTAAACTAGCTGTGAAGGGTAGGTACCTTCCCTCTGGTATAGCCTTTATTGTCCTCAGTGGCTGGCAAGGCCAGTTCCTGGCATGCCACCTGTGCTGCACACTTGATTCAATAATCTGCTGCTATCATCTGAATAAGGAGACCTTCATCCTTATTTTTTCATGGATCTTGAAAAGTATAAGTAGCCCTGTCTGTTGCTAAGGGACATGTACTAGAAGAGAGTCATGAAGGTTTGGTACTGAAACCTACTGAGTGGTTGGAGATAAATGTAGGGATATTTTAATTTCCACAAAAACTGGAGGCCTCTGGGTATGGTGGTGCATGCCTTTAGTCCCAGCACGCCTTTAGTCAGGAGCCAGAGGCAGGCAGATCTCTGTGAGTTCAAGGCCAGCCTGGTCTACATAGTGAGTTCCAGGCCAGCTGGGACTACAGGAAGACCCTGTCTCAAAAAGACCAGAACACAAACAAACCAACAAAACAAAAACTGGAGGCTACATTTAGGGGACAGGGCCAGAGAGAAGAAACACTTAGCATAGGTACAGTGTGGTACCATTCAATGAAGAATAACCTGCTTAAAATAACAATGATGCCCTTTCTGAGAAAAGGTTACAGTGGTCTCAGGTGACATAGTGGGAACTTTTGCACTCTCTCCATAACTTGAACTGGGGAGCTCTAAGTCCCCTCTCTCCTCTTGATGAGCCAAGCTCTCCAAATCTGTCATTGTCTCTATCCATCCTGCCACATTCACAAGTCCTGGCCCCTAGTTAATGTCTTCCTCTAACATTATTTTTATGCTGTAGGCCTTATGTTCAGAGTCCGATCTGAACTGGATGAAAATGCTGAGGGGACAGGGCTAAGGGTTCCCTGTAGGGTAGGAAATGGCTCAGTAGCCACACTAGCCTGCATGCTGGTCCCAGCATGCTCCACAGTATTTCCAGCCTCCAGCCTCCAGTCTCTGGGTCACTGTGACTAGCGTTTGGAAAGCCCTCACCTCCATCTTGTGGCAGGGAGTATTCTCAAATTGGAAAATCAGGTTAGGATTGCCGAATCCATAACCTTTCCCTAGATTCCACCTGGGTTCCATCCCCTGAAGCCTGGAGTCTGCAGGATTTGACATGATTGTGTATCTTCCTGAAGACTGCTTCTCTCTGCTCTGTCTGAGCATCCTTCCCCTTCCCCTCCTCGAGTACTGTTCAGTCTGACTGGGGAATCAGGTTCACCTCATAGAGACCAATGTTGGTGCTTTCTGAGGGCTGGTTGGGGACACTGTGAATGTCTGATGTGCTTCCGGTAGCCAGACTTGCTCTACTTCCCTGGACCACCTGGGGACAAAGGTCAATGCAAGACATCAGAATGTAATCTGGGGTTAGAGTTCTGGATTGAGGTCAGTCTAAGTTCTTTGGGTGAAAGGAGGGTAAGGAATTTCATTCAGGGCAGATGAAAATGATACCCAGTACACAACACTTTACAATGTACAAAACATACATTTATTTTCTAGATGGATCTTCACACTACCCATAGGACCAGGACAAGGCTGTCAGCTCTATTGCATAGATGAGGTCACTGATCCCCAAGACTCAGACCAAGGACAAAGCTGGGACAGAGGTAAGTTTCTTACATGTGAGACTGGGGTGACAGGTGGCTCAGGGAAGGGACCAAATATACAGGGAGAAGATAGGGTCTTCCAGCTCCCTGCTTTCCTGACCTTTCGAGAGCTGCCTCCCTGTGGGTGGAGGAAAGTGATGTCATCTATAGTCAGGATGATCTTGTTGGGGCCAGAGACCATTTGGATGTGAAGAAGCCGGTGCCTGGTAGGGGGAGGTGGTCATCCCCACAACGGGGACCAAATTCTGTAAGAATATGCCAGTGGAGGATGGGAGGGCGGTGACACTAGCTCTGGGAAGTATACTGGAATAAGGCTATCCCTCAAACATGTCCTGGGACTGTCAGCCACACAGAATCCTTTGTTACTCACCAAGAAAAGTTCTCCCTTCCTCTCTAGTGGACCTAGCCTGCTATCTACGGCACAATTTCATTCCTGGCAGATGGAGAGCCAAGAACACTTCCTACTTGCCCGATTCCCATACTTACCTCAAGTAATGGGCCAGGAAGGCTCCAGTCAACCCCATCCCCACCACCAGGAGGAAGCCAACAAAGACCAGGCCTGGCTCCACTCCTGAAGGGACAAAGAGAAGAGGAACACTCTTGATCTTGGCTGGGGGAAGGCCCCTTTGAAGGAGAGAGGTATTCAGTCAATCATGAAAATTCCTAGAAATGGGAGTGGGAGCTGGGGAGGCTCTGGGTGAAAGGTCATTGATTCCTCAAAGGGGAAGAGTGGAGATGCTAGGAAGGTTCTCAGATGGCTTTGGGACTCTGTGAGAGGGTCCTGAGTAAGCCAGGGACTGAAGGAGGATCTGGAAGAACAACAGGAGTTTTCTCTCACACAACTTTGAATTGTCTATGCTGACAGTCCCAGTGGGAGCTGGGAGTGCTTGCCCTCACCTCCGTTGCAGATCACACCAGGATCGAACCAGCAGGAGGGATCTGGTCCTGGTGGAGGTCCACCAAGAGGGAAGTGCACTGGGGTCCCAGAGGAGCGCAGAGAGCCCTGGAGAGGATCCAGTAGGTGTGTGGTGAACAATCTGTCGCCTGCTGCATCTGTGTCTAACAGCACAAAGGAGGGCTCCTCGGTTCTTCCCAGGGCCCCGCAGAAGCCAGAGACTTGGGTATCCTGCACTTGTTGGGCTACAGATGCTCCTGACACCCAGCTGCCACCTGCTGCTGCTGGTGCTCCCATCTCCATCTTGCCTCGGGCCAGTAAGAAGACAGCATCATAAATGGTGCCGAACAATGGAGAGACCTAGAGGAGAGTTAAGGACTCAGAGTTAGAGCCAATAAATGAATTCACTAGCCCTCCTGTTCTTTCATTGTATCCTTCTGGCCCTGATGGTTCCTACCTCCCAGGTGCTGGCTCCCCATATCCTTCCCCATTAGAGTTCACACCTTTTCTCTCTCTTCCCTGTCTCTCACTCAGTCGTCCCCACCGATTGTACCTCCTTTCAGGACTCCCACTCTCTCATGGTTGATTCTAACTCTCCATCTCCTGTACATTTCTTTTTCCATCCACTTGTTTGCCCTACATACACTTTTAATCTCACCTACCATTCATCTAAAACTTTCAAAACTTTCCCATCCTTTGGTTGGTGTCTTTTTTTTCTTATTTATTTTATTTATTGAGACATGGTCTTCCTAAGTTGCTCAGGTTGACCTTGAACTTACTATGTAACCTAGGCAGACTTTAGGTCTTGATCTCTCTCTCTCTCTCTCTCTCTCTCTCTCTCTCTCTCTCTCTCGGGTTTCATGTAGCCCAAGTTGGCCTCAAAATCCATCCATTCCTTAATTGGACCTGTCTACCAATCTATCTCTCAAAGTGCCAGACACTATATAACATCAATGATGTTCAAGACAGTCCCCTGCCTTGAGGAAAAAGACAGGGGTGTTAGTAGTGCAGTATATGAAGGCACAAGGAAATAAGGGAGATTTAGGGACAAGAATGAAGGTCCCCACCCAGATAGGAGGAAGAGGAAGAAGTTCTAGAAGCAGTGACCATCCCTCAGGACATGAGGTGGAATTACCCAGGGAGGATGAGGTAGGAGAAAGGAAGCAGCTCAGAGATAAAAGAGAAGACCCTAAAGTAGCTCAGTCTGGCTGAAGTTCATGAAGACAATAGAAGACCCAGGTCCTGGGGAGACCTCCATCAATACAGAACAATGAGGGTCCCCAACACAGGATGGAGGAAGGCTATTCAGAAGCTACCAGGAGGCCTTGAACCAGGTCTTGAAATTGTAGAACACATTTGATTTCTGATTGTTATTGGAGAGAAACCTGGATCAGGTAATTCGAAGCACAGACCACTGGGAGATTATATTCTAGGTCTGGGCTCAGAAGTGTTGTGGCCTGAATCAGGATAGTAACAGTGAGGAGGGAGAAAATGGATTCTAATGACCACTAGAAAGTAAAAGTAATAAGACTGGATTTGGGGGTGGGGACCAAGGGGAATCAGTTGGGTGACTCCCTTGCCATGGAATGGACAGCTGGTAGAAAGCTGTGCATTTACTGGGAACTAATGAGAACCCCTCCATCCTATTTAACTCTTAATTTCTTATTGACTATTGCCACCCTCTGTTCATTGCTACCTCAAATCTCTTTTGGGGGAAGGCATTGCTGGGGAATAGTTCAGCCCCCACTCCTGCAATAGCTTTTTTCATGTAGTCTCTTTGGGGTATGGCTATTTCTTTACTTATTTGGGGGAACTAAACCTAACGTATTGCACAGGCTGGGCAAGTAGGCTACCACTGTGCTATATACCCAGCCTTTTTATTTTTTGAGACAAGGTCTTTCTAAGTTGACCAAGCTTGCCTTAACTTCACTCTGTATCCCAGACAGGTCCTGAGTTTGGGATCCTCCTGCCTCAGCCTTAGTCTCCTTCCTATGTCATCTGTCATGAGTATGGCCTTTATTTATTAAAAAAAAATTTTTTTTGAGACAGGGTCCCCCTGTAGTCCCAGCTGACCTGGAACTCATTATGTAGACTAGGTTGGCCTTGAACTCACAGATATTCATCTGCCTCTGCCTCCTTGGCATGGGATTAAAGGTGTGCACCGCCATGAGTATGACCTTTTTTTTTTTTTTTTTTGAGACAGGGTCTTCCTGTAGCCCCAGCTGGCCTGGAACTCAATTTGTATACCAAGCTGGCCTCAAACTCACAGAGATCCCACTGCTTCTGCCTCCCGAGTGCTGGGATTACAGGTGTGCACCACCACACCTAGCTGAGTATGACCTTTTTGGTGGTTAATTTCTTACCTATTGACGTCTAGCTTCCCTTCTACCTTAATAGCTTCTAGCTTCCCTTTGTGCCTGGGAGGGAGTTAGAAGGTATAAACTGGGATTCTGGAGACTCAGGGAATCCTGGGTACTACCTGGATGTTGGAAATTATCTTTGGATCTGATTATGGAAGCCCCTACCTCCAGCTGGGGACTTTTCTTCTTTTGCAAGATATCAAAGCCCTCACAAAGTTAAGACCATAGCGATGACCAGAGAACAACTCGAGGCCCCAGAGGAAATGCCTCAGAACTAGGTGTGAAGTTTGGATCTGTATCCTCCCTCTCCCTCTTTCTTGCTCTCTTGAGAACACCACCTGTTTATTATGCATTCTATGTTGTTCGGTTGTTTGGAAATAAGTCAACTTTGAAGCAGACTAAAAACAACATGGTAGTTTAGTTTACTCCTTGGAGCTGGGTTGGAGGGGTCTCATTGCCTACTCTGGTGGTAAATACGCTAAGATGCCCTAAAGCAAAACCTGAACTTCTATTAACACCCATGAAAACCCCCATTGGCCCCACCCTTCTCTTCCCCATTGACCTTACTCTCCTCTTTCCATTGGCCCCACCCTCCTCTTCCCATTGACTCCACCCTCCTCTTCCCACTGGCCTCACCGTCCTCTTCCCATTGGCCCCACCTTCCTCTTTCCATTACTTCCAACCTCCTCTTCCACATTGACCCCACCCTCCTGTTTCCCATTGACCCCACCCTCCTCTTCCCGTTGGCTCCACCCTCCTTTCTATAGGCTTCAACCTTCTCTTTGTATGTTATCTATCTTCCCTCTTCCCTGGCTTTCCTCCCTCTTCCCTGTTCCTCAGTCTATCTACCTGCTGCAGGTTGAGGTCTGAGGGCAGCTCTTGGTGCTCTTGGGCCCTGCGCAGACTATCCAGAACGCTGCCTCCCCGAGGACAGTGACGCGTGAGAGTGAGCACTGCATCATGAGCCCTGCGAAGCTGGGAGCTGTTGGCAAGTGCGCCCAAGGTCTCTGGGCCTGGAGACAACGCATAGTGGAGCGTGTCGAAGGGCAGGAAGACCAGGGAGCCATCGGCCAGGCCTAGCTCTTCTGCAGCTTCCAGTAGGTAGCGCTGCTCCTCACCGCCCAGCAGCACTGAGTGCATCACCATGATCACTACTGTGAACACAGAGACTGGCTTGCTCCCTTGCCCACTGTCCGCAGGACGGGCCGACCTCCCCCCACCCTGCCCGGGAGCCTACCTCTAACTCTAGGCCCGTCCTGGACCCTCCTGAGGGCCTCCCGAGCTCCAGACAGGTCCGAGGGCTCCATGGAGGTCACCAGGGCGACTGGCAGGCCCCGAGCCCTGAGTTCTGTGGACAGAGCGAGTCCCGCCTCCACCCACAGGTCCTGGGGCGCGGTGACCAGCGCCACGCGCGCCCAGCGGAAAGCTCGAAGGAGGACGTAGAGAGCATCCGCTGCGGGGGTCACAGCAGGGGCCGTGGTGCCCGCCGCCCACGTCCCGGGACAGCCCCAGGGCACCAGCGCGACCCCAGCCTCTTGGGCTAGTAGCTCCGCTGGCCTGCAGGCTGCAGGGTTCACCGGGCCCACCAGGCCCGACACTCGGGCCAGCGCGGAGGATACAGCCCCCAGGGAGCCCGGGGTCAGGCAGGGCTCAGCAAGCAGCACGACCTCGAAACGCTGGCCGCCTTGCAGGGCAAGGTCACGGTTCAGGCGGTCGGCGGCCAGGCGCGCAGCCAGCTCCGGGAGGGCTCGGGCAAAGATGGGGTCGCATGCCCATGGGCCCAGCACTCCTACTTTGAACACGATGGAAAGGGCAGCGGGCGGCGGGAGGAGCAGCAGGAGCAGCAGTCCCGGCAGCTGAGGCCCTGGCCAGGGTAGGACCCGTGGGAGACCCAGCGGGGACAGTAGCTCAGGGGCGCAGAGCCGGGCGGCGGGGAGTCCACCCGCTGGGAGAGTGCACGCGGTCATCGCTAGCGTCTGTGGACACAGAGGGAGCTGGACGAGCGATTCAGACCCCCAGGACTCCCTGTGGTTCTTCCTGCAAGCCTATTTCTCAAATCCCACCTAATCCCAGGGGTGTCTCCGCTTCCAGAGCCCCTTCTGCAGTCTTGGACCCCTAGATCCCTCCCCTACCTGGCGTGCACACGGGCCCGGAAGGCGAAGGCCACTGGGGCCTCTCCAGCTTGTTCCAATTTGCTTACTTCCCTTCCCCGCCCCCGTCCCCCTCTGTCAGCGGCTTCAAGGGTCGGTAGGGACCTGAGTCCCTGGCTTGGGTCCTGTACCACTTACGGGGGGAGGGGGGAGTCCGGGGCTCCGGCTTGGCTAAGGGGTCATAGAGTCGCTGTCCCTTTGGTCTCCCCTGGCAGCCCAGCCCAGGGCGGGGGTTGTGGGAAGAGCCCACTAAGGACCTTAATCTTCCCAAGAGGATTAGGATCTTTTAATCAAGCAGGGAGGGCCTGGTGGTGGAGGGTGAGAGTCCCTCCTGCTCCTCTCCTAGGTGGGGTCTGTGCTGCTTCCAAATAGCCAGGAGCTGCTTAGCTAGCCACTTAGGAGGGGGAAATAATTACATCTGTATTTCACACTATACACAAACTCATTTTCAGATTTCAATCTTATAAGTAACCGTTATCTTTTTGCAAAGATTGAATTAATTAATTTTGATAAGGTTAATTTTGATAAAGGTGTCCTATTTCTTACTGGATAATCTCTCTCTGCGTCTCTGTTCCACCCCCCCACTTTTGTCTTCTTCCAACCCAGATGCAATCTGTAGGGGAAAGGTTTAACCCTGTAGAGTTATGTAAATGCTATAAAAGTTCAATTTCCAGTGCCTACAAGATGACTAACAGCCACCCTTAACTCCAGTTCCAGGGGATCAGCACCCTTTTCTGGTCTCTGAGGGCATTACAGGACCCAAGTGCACTTACATCGCAGGCAAAACACTTCCACACATAAAATAAAAATAAATAAATAAAAATTAAAATGCTATAAAGAATATCAACATCAGGGGCTGGAGAGATGGCTCAGAGGTTGATACTGGCTGCTCTTGCAGAAGACTGGGTCCAGTTCCCAGAACCTACAAGGCAGTGAACAACCACATGACCTGGGTGCACTTAAATATGTACAGACAAAACACACACATAATTTTTTTTTCAGTCTTTTTGAGACAGGGTCTCCCTGTAGTCCCAGCTGGCCTGGAACTCACTATGTAGACCAGGCTGGCCTCAAACCCACAGAGATCCGCCTGCCTCTGCCTCTCAAGTGCTGGGATTAAAGGCATGTGCCACCATGCCCAGCATACATAAAATTTCTAAAAAGAATATCACCATCAGTTAGGCATGATGATGCATGCCTGTAAATTCCAGCATCAAGAGGTAGAGGCAAGAGAATGGTGAGTTTGAAGCCAGCCTGGCTATACAGTGAGATCATGTCTCTGAACAAACAGAGTATCTGTAAATGCTTTCCGTGCAAGCACAAAGACTTGAATTTAATCCCCACTTAAAAGATGCTGGACCTAGTGGTGCCTGCTTATAATCCTAGCCTTGGGAAGAGGGAGACAGGTAGCTCCATGGGGCTCCTGTTCAGCAGCCTAGCCTACTTGCTGAGCTCCAAGCCAAAATGAGAGATCCTGGATCAAGAAACAAAGCGAATGGCTCCTGAGGAATGACATCTGAGGTAGTCCCCCAGCTTCCCCATGCACATACACAGAACATACATACACACACACACACACACACACACACACACGCATGCGTGCACCAATATCACCAAAGAACTGGTCACTGACAGAGACTACTGAGCAGTTTGATAAGTTGTCAAAGTACATTTATGAAACTAATAGCTATACTATAGTGGGAGCTAGAGAGATGGCTCAGGGATTAAGAGCACTTGCTGCTCTTGCAGGTGACTGGGTTTTGTTTCCAGGACCCACATTGGGTGACTCATAACTGCCTGAGCACCTGCATGCACATGATTCACATACATACACTCAAGCATACACATACACATAAATGCCTGGCTCCAAGAAACACATAAGAAAGAAAATATAAGCCACAGCTAGAAGATAATGAAAAACACTAACAAAGAGTTGGTATCTGTATTTCTCCTTATCTACATCTATACTCACCCAAATCTGTATCTAAACTCATATAAAAATAAACATCCCAGTATTAAAAATGGATGAAAGCACATCAATGAAAAGGCTTAAGGAAAAATGCTCAACCTCTCTGATAACCAAGGAGATACAAAATAAAGCAAGCAATGAAGCAACATTCACACTCATCAGACTGGCAAAAATAGGACAGGGTGACAATACCAAACTCTTGAAGCACAAACCAGCAATCACTGATGACAGTGTCACTGATGGACGGTTTGATATTCCATTTTCATGGATCTTCTTGTGACAGTTAATTTTCATTGTTAACTTGATGGGATTAAGAATCATCGAGTAAACAGAACTCTGGGTATGTCTATGAAGGTTTAAGTGAGAAAGGAAAGCTCACCCTGAATGTGAATGACAGCATTCTGTGGATGGAGCTCAGAACTGAAGGAGAAAAAGCTGAGCACTGGCATTCAGCTCTCTGCTTCCTGACGATTGTAAAGTGATGAGCCACTTATGCTACTACACCATGCCTTCACCAAGATGGACTATACCTTCAAACTGGGAGCCAAAATAAACCCTTCTTCATTATATTGCTTTTGTCACTCCAATGAGAAAAATAACATTGTTCTAGGGAATTTAACATTTTTGAGTGTAAGACAAGACTTGTGGGGCTGACTGCTCTTGCAGAGGACCTGGGTTCTATTCCCAGTGCCCACATGGCAGCTAACAACCATCTGTAACTCCAGTTGCAGGGGCTCCTACACCCTCTTCTGGCCTCTACAGGCACTGCATAACACAGGTGCACTTACATGTAGGCAATACACTCATATACATGAAATAAAATAATAAATATTTTAAAAAGGCAAGATGAGGCTGGAGAGATGGCTCAGTGGTTAATAACACTGACTGTTCTTGCAGAAGATCCAGGTTCAAATCCCAGCACCCACATGGCAGCTAACAACTGTCCCTAACTCCAGTTCCAGGGGATCCAACAGCCTCTTCTGTCTTCTGCAGGCATTGCATGACATGGGTGCACTTGCCTACATGCAGGCAATACACACATACACATAAAATAAAAATAATAAATAATTTTTTTAAAAAAGACAATACTTGTAGAGGAGTCATTCATTTGCTTGTTCAAAGAAAAAATAGTTATTGAATTTCCTCTATGTGCCAAGCCCTGTTCTGGACTCTGGGAATACAACTGTGAATAAAGAGTTTAAAATCCCTGTCCTCATGGAGCTTACATTCTGGTGAAGGTTAAAGAGGATAAGCAAGTTCAAAAGGTAGAATAAATATGAAGCATGCAGAATAAAACATGAAAACCTCTTAAGTTTTGGTAGAAGACAAATAATT